GGCAGCGGCGTCTGGGGGGCCGCCACGCCCCCGTCTGCGGAGTTTTCTATTTTGATAATTGGAGGCGAATGGCTGGTGGCCCCATTCAATCGGAATCCTGGCGGGGGAGGCGCAGGGGAGGGCCCTGGCACAGGCCCGGCACAGAGGTGCCTCTGACGCCCCTTCCTGGGGAGGGGAGGGGGGAGTTATGAGGCTGGTTTGGCCCACATTTCCCCCCGCAACCCCACCCCCCGAAGGAGCCATGGCAAGCTCAGTGCAGGACGCTCGGACTAAGTCCCGTCCGCGCCGCCCGCCCGTGGGTGCCCCTCCCGGCTCCCTGGCCTAGACAGTGGGCGCTCTCACCCTAACGGCTGGGGCTCTGCCTGGGGCTCAGGACAGGTTACTGTCCCATAAAGGCCCAGCCCCCCACGGTGAGGCCCCCCCCCCCATGAGAGCGCCCAGGCTTCTCACCCCGTCTCTGTCGGCCTTGTTTCTAGGACCAGGCCCAAGGCCCGCAAGCAAGGTGTGAGCCCGGCGGACATGTACCGGTGGAAGCTCTCGTCGCACGAACCCTGCAGCGCCACCTGCACCACAGGTACCGTCCGGGCTGCGGGCTGCCAGCCACCCCCTCGCTCAGAGCCCCGCGCGCCCGCATCGCTGACCTGGGAGGTCGTCTCACGTGACGGGTTGGGGTGTGCTGCTCACTGCGGACCGTGGGTGAGGGACGTGGGCCTCCTGGGCAGGATGCATGCCCCCCAAGTGCTCCTCCTCGTTGTCATTCGTAGAGCAGACGTCCTTTTGGTTAAAAGGAAGAAATCTGGGTGGTGAGGTGCTCACAGCAAACCTAGGAGGGAAACAGACCCACATGGTCTAGGACCCAGGGCTGTGTAATGTTGCTACTGATATGAATCGTAATGTAAATATCTGATATGCAGGATGGTCTTAGGCGACCCCTGTGAAAGGGTCATTCGACCGCCAAAGGGGTCTCGACCCACAGGTTGAGAACCGCTGGGTTAAAAGGAAGAAATCTGGGTGGTGAGGTGCTCATAGCAAACCTAGGAGGGGGGACAGACCCACGTGGTCTAGGACCCAGGGCCTGGTTCAAGTTCCAGGGCCTCGTCCGGGGAGGAGGTGGGAGGGGGACTGAGACCCTTGGTGGCACCTGACAAGCGGGCACATGTAAGTGTTGAGCCGGGATTTGAACCCACATCTGTCTGCCCACTGGCTGGCCGCCCCCACACTGAGGCACGGGCCGCAGCCACCAGGGGCCGGGCTCCCTCTGCGGCCAGCTCTGCCCCCTCCCCAGGGGAGCTGTGAGGCCAGAGCTAGCAGATGTGACAGGGAGGCCCGAGTGCCACCTGACCCACACCTGGGACCGCAGAGTTGGGTTTGGAGAACAGCTGGGTCCTGCCCCGGGCCCTCCCCTCGGCCGATGCCCCTGCACTCTGGCCAGTGTGGAGGACGAGGCCAGCGGGTGTGGTCCACCTCCTGCGGCCGTGGTTGGCATCTCGGGACATGGGCCTGGGGGAAGAGCTGGCGAGGTGGCTTGCAGGGTTCGGAGGGGACACTGGTCCTTACGTTCGGCTCTTGGCTGGAATCTGGGGCCCTGTCTCCTGAGCTGTTTGTCCCCTGACACCAGGAGGGTACAAGCCAGGCTTTTTTATTTTTAATCTTCACCCGAGGATCTTTTTCTATTGATTTTTAGAGAGAGTGGAAGAGAGAGGGAAAGACAGAGGGAAATATCGATGTGAGAGAAACACATCGATTGGTTGCCTTCTGCATGAGCCCTGACCAGGGTCCGGGCCTGGGAGGAGCTGCAACCGAGGTAGGTGCCCTTGACCGGAATCGAACCCAGGACCCTTCGGTCTGCAGGCCGACGCTCTATCCACTGAGCCACACTGGCCAGGGCACAGGCCAGGTTTTGTGGGGTCAGCGAGCACTGGAGATGCACTGTCTGGTCGACCCCTGGCAAATGCTTCCCCTCTGGGAGCCTGTGCTCTACCGGCAGAGCGGGCGCCCACCTATCCACGGGGGTCAGGGGATGGATGTGACGTGGGGGGTCGGGTCCCTCGCCACCCCTCCCACACACTCTGCACTTTGCGTCTGGCGCCCAGGACCGAGGCCGGCTCCTCCAAAGCCTCATCTCACGGCACCGAGGCCGGGCCAGGTGCTGGGATGACGACCCTCCCGTGGCACGTGCTGCCTGACTGTCTGCAGCGTGATGGACACGCAGTAGGCTTCGCTGGGAGTTCCCAGGCCAGCCTCTGGGCAGTGAGGCGCATCTCCTGTCTCCCGGCTCAGCCACAGGCGCTGCCTCCTTTTCCTTAGAGACGCTCTGCTCTCTGTGCGGGTGGGAACGCGGGCGAGCCGGATGGTGCTCTTCCTCTGAGTCTCAATGATGTCAAAAGGTTCCTCAGTCCCTCGCATCCCCAGGACCCAGGGGTGACGGGAGGGGAGCCAGGGACCCCTAGCTCCATCCCCTCTGTTTCGTGGTCCCCGATTTCAAGGCACGGGTCCCTGTCTAGGAAGGTTTGAGAGGCACTGTGCTCAAGACTGCGGCATGAAGAGGGGGCCCCCAAGATTGGTACTCTGACTCCCCCGGCTTCTCGGGGACGCTCCCATTTTGGGGACGAGCAAGCTGAGGCCTGGAAAGTCTGACAGTATTCATGTCACCCCACCAGGGGAGACTGAGTTGGGACTGGAATTCCAGTCTCTCTTGTTGGGGACCTGCCGGGTCCCCACTGGACGAGTGAAGGAATAATCGGGCACCGGGCCAGGGTCTGCAGCTCCCCAGGCCGGGACTCCCTGGGCCCTGGAGCTGATGTCTGAGCCCTGGCCAGGGAGCCAGCCCCCCACCCCCCACAGAGCGGGCTGCAGGCTGAGCAGCCCAGCGCTGGCAGAAGGGGCCAGTGACTGCAGCCTGGCTGGTCCTCCACAGAAAAGAGAAAGAATCCCGGGTGGGCTGTTTGCCAGGCTGGTTCATTCGATCCAGGGCTGGGGCTTAGAGGCGGGAATGCTGGCCTTCAGCGCCGCAGGGAAGGGAGGGGGAGGGGCCGGGCTCTCAGGTATGGGCACATTGCCTCCTCCTGGGGGACTGGCCACCCAGAGGGAGGGTTCCACTTGTCCATCATTCAGAAAGGCATCTCTCTCTCTCTCTCTCTCTCTCTCTCTCTCTCTCTCTCTCTTTCACACACACACACACACACACACACACAGTAACAACGACAATAGCAAACCTCCCCCGCCCAGGCTGTCACCAATGCTGACCGCCACCCTGTCATCCTGGCTCCTTGGCAGGGACCCACCACTGCTTGTGAGCGTGGCCTGTGTCCCAGCAGGTGCCAGGCATTGGTGCTGGGGAGGAGGACAGAGCAACAGAGGGTGGAGGCGGGTCAAGGAATTAGCAATATGAGGTGAGAGACAGCCCTTCACGGGCCGTCCTCTGGGATTTGTAGAGTCCAGGAAAGCCCAGAAAGGGACACACACACAGCACTAGAGACAGAAGGTTCCGGGGGGAGTGTGATGAGGACTGGAACACGCCACAGGAGGGCAGGGATCTGAGGGCTAATATAATATCCGGGGAGGCTGGAAAAGGCTGGAATGGTTAGATTTCTATTCCATATTCATCCACCAATCCACCCATTCAGCAACCTATCCACCCATCCATCCATCCACCAATGTATCCATCCATCTACTCACCCAACAACCTATCCATCCATCCATCTATCCATCCATCTATCCATCCATCCATCCATCCACCAACCTATCTATCTATCCATCCATCCATCCATCCATCCATTCATCCATCCATCCATCTATCCATCCACCAACCTATCCATCCATCCATTTACTCACCTAACAACCTATCCACCTATCTATCCATCCATCTATCCATCCATCCATCCATCCACCAATCTATCTATCCATCCATCCATCCATTCATCCATTCATCCACCAACCTATCCATCTATCCATCCGTCCACTTACCCAACAACCTATCCATCCATCCATCCATCCATCCATTCACCAACCTATCCATCCATCCATCCATCCATCCATTCACCAACCTATCCATCCATCCATCCATCCATCCATTCACCAACCTATCCATCCATCCATCCATCCATCCATTCACCAACCTATCCATCCATCCATCCATCCATCCATTCACCAACCTATCCATCCATCCATCCATCCATCCATTCACCAACCTATCCATCCATCCATCCATCCATCCATTCACCAACCTATCCATCCATCCATCCATCCATCCATTCACCAACCCATCCATCCATCCATCCATCCATCCATTCACCCAACAACCTATTCATCCATCCATCCATCCACCCACCTACCCACCAACCTACTCACCCATTCACCCACCCACTCACCCATAGATGGGTAGTTGTTGCATGAATGGAAATCAGTGACACCCGGCTGCCTGTGCCTTTACAGAGGCCAATTTGAGTTTATGCAAAGCCCAGGGTTTGTGACACATGAACTGGGTGCCCAGCCTGGGCTGCATGGGGTGGGGGGAGGGGGGTACAGAGAGAAGAGGTCAGACCCTGGGACACAGGCAGAGAGAGTCGGATCCACAAAGCTGTCTTCGCTGAGCTCTCCTGTCATGGGTCTGTAAGCTGGTGACTGTCCTGTCGTCGCTGTAAACCAGGCGGCTGGGCTCTGAGCAGCCAGGTGGTCTCCAGGTGCGCACCTGTGGCTCACAGGCCTTCCCCTTTCCTGAACCCAGGGGTCATGTCCACCTACGCCACGTGCCTGCGCTACGACGGCATCCAGGTGGAGGACAACTACTGCGACGCCCTGACCCGCCCGGAGCCGGTCCAGGATTTCTGTGCTGGGAGGGAGTGCCAGCCCAGGTACTGCCCCAGAGCCCCCGCAGGGTGTGTGTTGGGGTGGGGGCCGGGCTCTGCCCAGAGGAGCCAAGGAGTCCGAATCCTGCTCCTTCCAGGGGGCTCTGTGGGCGGGGCGGCGGGGAGGGGCCGCACTGACCTGCCTGCCAGAGTCCCTCTGCGTCCGCAGTCTCCTCTGTCACTGCGCTTTGCACACAGTAGGTGCTCAGTCAGTGCCTGTCTCGGCAGCTGGAGAAACCTTTCTGAAGGTTACTTGCCCCACGGTGACACCTGCCCGGGCTTCCTGGTGCCCCTGGGGCTTTATGAGCCCGGAGGGATTATACCTTAAATTCCCTGTGATGAGGTGGAGGCCCGGTCCTTCTAGCCCCCAGGCCTCCTGTCCTGCCTCCTTGATGGTCAGAGATTGAGGCCTGGCCGTGCCCTCCTCCCAGCCACACTCCTGGCGGGAGCTGGAGCAGGGGCCCAGATGAGCCCGAGGTACCAGCCTGCTGTCACCCGTCAGTGTAGGACCAGCAGACTGGCCTTGTCCCTGACTCTGCCACACCCCCTTTTCTCCTGGCCTGCTCCCCACCCCTGGGGGTCTCGGCTCCCACGCACATGGCCCCGCCCCACTCTCACGCATGTAGCCCCGCCCGCTCCCACACACCTAGCGGAAGGCCAGGTGGGTGAGAGCAGGTAGAGGCAGCCCCCAGGCAGGCCAAGCGCCCGCTCCAGGTGCCCACCCGCACCCCACTTAGGTGTTTCCCCAGCTCGGGGTCCCCAGGCAGCAGCTCCACCGTGGGGCCTCGCCTGTGTCGTGTCTGGCTTGGCCCTTGTGGTTTGGGACCACGCAGGGAGCGAGCAGGGGGCGCTTTTTCTCGGGGTGT